GCCGGCCCCGAGTGACCCCACACTGACCGGCTCTGCATCTTGCCCTTGAGCTTGGCGCTGGGGGGCTGCTCCTCGGGGAGCCCCTCAGGGGACGGTGCCTCCAGCTGCGCCCGGCGCTGCTGCTCCAGGTTGTACTCGCGCAGCTCGGCCAGCAGCGTCCCTACGGATGGGGGGACACCAGAGTGTCACAGGCTGGGACCCCGCACTGGACACAGGGCACCCCCRGGACCCCCCTCACCCATCCCAGGACCACCCCTCACCGATCTGGCGGCACAGGGCCCCCCCCAGCTGCCGGGCCCCGCTGAGCAGCAGCCGCAGGACYGTGTCCCTTGTCCCCGCGTCACCCCGGGACAGCTGCAGCAGCACGTTGGCYGCGTCCTCCAGCCCCTCCTCCGAGCACGAGTGGGACGTCAGCACCTGCGGGGGGTGGCACAGAGGTTGGGGACACCTGGGGACARCAGGGTGYCCCCTCCCCTGYCTTGACCCGCCMCRTTACCTCCACGGAGAGCTGGAGCTGGCTCTCGGTCAGGCCTGTAGCTGCCAGCCGGGGGTCGGGGCCACTCTCGGCACCCTTGGCCGGGGACTTGGAGGTCTTGGCAGTGGCTGGGGACAGCAGGGACACCGGGGTTGGGGTGGTGGCAGGGGACAGAAGATGCCACCATGGCCATCGTCCCCCACCCCAGGCTCCTCCCTGCGCACATCGTGTCCCCATTTCTGTCCCCATGTCTCACACCCTGTCACCATCCCTGTCCATATCCCTGTCCTTGTGTCTCTGCTGCCATCCTCCCATCCCTGTCCCCATGTCCATCCCCATCCCCCTATCCATGTCACCATGTTTCCCCATCCATGTCCCCACGTCACCCCCATTCCTTGTCTCCATCCCCATGTCCCATCCCTACGTTCCTGTCCCATCCTTCTCTCCATTCCCACATCCCCAATGTCCCAGGCCCATCCTCAGGTTCTGTCCCCGTGTCCCCGTGTCACCATGTCCCCATCCCCATGTCCCCGTACCCCCACGTCCCCATGCCCGCACTCACCCGCTGTTCCTCCTCCCGTGCCCGCGCCGCCGCCGCCGTTCCCTCCCTGTCCCGGGGGGCTCCCGGGCGCCGCCGCCCCCGTCCCCGTCGCCGTCCCGGCCCCCGCGGCGGGCGGGGCGGGCGCGGGGGGGGCGGGGGCTCCGTTCTGGGGCGCCGCCCCCCCCTCGCCGGCCTTGCCCCCCTCGGGGAGGGCGATGGAGATGAGGGACAGCAGGCGCAGCAGCTTCTCGGTGAGGAGGGGGCTGCGGCGGATGACGCCGTGCGACAGCATGTTCATCAGCTGCCCCAGCGGCGACGCCTCCAGGCCCCCCCCCGCCGCCTCGGGC